ATATCTCCTGGAAGAAGAGCCTCTCCAACCAGCCTGTCCCCAGAATTCTGACTACCCAAGCCTTGGCCACCATACAGGGACTGTACATCTATCCCTCCTCTTCCTCCTCACCTCACCACCATTGTCTGCCCCCTTTCAGTGATTGATACTTCAACCAATATTACCTTTGCTACTGGGAAGGGCATACAATCTACTCCTCTAAGACTACTCAGAATCCCTAGGAATGGAAAGCAAAATTATCTCTTTTTAAAAATGACATGATGATTTATTTAGAAAACACTATAGAGAACTATATGAACACAGTTACAAAACACTTTACACAAATAGGGTCAGATCTAAATAATTGGAAAAATATCAGTTGCTCATGGGTTGGCCAAGCTAATATAATAAAAATGACAATTCTACCTAAATTAATTTACTTATTCATCCTAATGAAACTACCTAATCAAACTACCAACAATTATTTTATAGAGCTAGAAAGATAAAAACAAAATTCATCTGGAAGAACAAAAGTTCCAGAATATCAAGGGAATTAATGAAAAGAAATGCAAGGGAAGGTTGCCTAGCCATACCAGATCTTAAATTGTATTATAAAGCAGTAATGATCAAAACTACTTGGTACTGGCTAAGAGATAGAGTGGTAGATCAGTGGAATAAGTTAGGTAAATGACACAGTAGTCAGTGACTATAGTAATCTACTATTTGATAATAATCCAATATTTGATAAACCCAAAGACTCCATCCAGCTTCTGGGATAAGGACTCATTACTTAACAAAAACTACTGGGAAAATTGGAAAAGAATATGGCAGAAATGAGGCATAGACCAACATCTTACAGTGAGATAAAGTCAAAATGAGTACATGATTTAGATGTAAAGCTAATACTATAGGCAAACTAGGAGAGCAAGGAATAGTTTACCTGTCAGATTTATGGAGAATGGAAGAATTTATGACCAAACAAGAGATAGAGAACACTATGAAATGCAAAATGGATAATTTTGATTACATTAAATTGAAAAGTTTTTGTGCAAACAAAGCCAATGTAACAAAGATTAGAAGGGAAGCAGAAAGCTGGTAAACAATTTTTACAGCCAGTGTCTCTGATGAGGGCCTCATTTCTAAAATATATAGAGAACTGAATTAAATTTATAAGAATACAAGTCATCCCCCAATTGATAAATGGTCAAAGGATATGAACGGGCAGTTTTCAGAGGAAGAAATTAAAGCTGTCTATAGTCATGTGAAAAAAAATGCTCTAAATCACTATTGATTAGAGAAATGCAAATCAAAACAAGTGGTAGGTACCACATCATGCCTATCAGATTGACTAACATGACAAAATAAAAAAAAAAGGTAAATGTTGAAGAAGATGTGGGAAAATTGGAACACTAATGCATTGCTGGTGGAGTTGTGAACTGATCTAACCATTCTGGAGAGCAGTTTGGAACTATGCCCAAAGAACTGTAAAACTGTGCGTAGCCTTTGACCCAGTAATCGCACTTCTAGGTCTATATCCTAAAGAGATCATACAAATGGGGAAAGGACCCACATATACAAAAAACATTTATAGCAGCTTTTTTTGTGGTGGCAAAGGATTGGAAATTGAGGGGATGCCCATCAATTGGGGAATGGCTGAATAAGTTCTGGTATATGAATGTAATGGAATACTATTGTGCTATAAGAAATGATGACCAGGAAGACTTCAGAAAAGTCTGGAAGGACTTATGTGAACTGATGCTGAGTGAAAATAGCAGAACCAGGAGAATGTTGTACACAATAACAGCCATGTTATGCGATGACTAATATTGATAGACTTAGCCCTTCTCAGCAATGCAAGGATCTAAGACATCTCCAAAAGTCTCATGATGGAAAATGCTATCCACATCCAGAAAAAGAACTATGGAGTCTGAATGCAGATTGAAGCATACTATTTGCTCTTTCTTTCTTTTTTTGTTTCTTCTTTCTCATGGTTCCTTCCACTGGTTCTAATTCTTCTTTACAATATGACTAATGTGAAAATATGTTTAATATGAATGTATATGTGGAGCCTATATCAGATTGTGCACTGTCTTGAGGATGTGCAAGGGAAGGAGGGGGAGAAAAATTAGAACTCAAAATCTTATGGAAGTGAATGTTGAAAACCAAAAATAGATAAATTAAAAAAAAACACTAAAGAGTCAGCAAAAATTAAGTAAATTAATTAATTAAATTAATTATCAATTAAGTTAATTAAATAAATTCCACAAAATTACAGGATATAAAATAAAGTCACATAAATCATCTGCATTCCTGCATATTACTAACAAAATCTAACAAGAAGAGATAGGGCAATTTCATTCAAAATAGCTATAGGATGTATAAAAGGTTTGGGAATCCATCTACCAAGATACATCCAGGAACTATTTGAATACACTTACGAAACATTCATGCAGAAATAAAGGCAAATTTAAATAATTGGAGAAATATTCATTGTTCATGAGTAGGCAAAGCCAACATAATTTTAATAAATGCCAATACTGCCTAGGTTAAACTACTGTATCAAAATACCATAGTATTATTTTATAAAGCTAGAAAAAATAATAATGAAATTCACATGGAGGAACAAGGATTTTCCAGGGACATAGTGAAAAAATGGTAAAAGAGGGGGCCTAGGCTAGCAGATCCAAAGCTCTACTATAAAGTAATAATTATTAAAAACTGTTTGATAATGGTTAAGAAATAGAGTTAAACTTGTGGATCAGATTCGGTGCACAATACACAGAGACAAATGTGTTTTATAAAGACTAAGATCCCAGTTACTGGGATAAGGACTCACTATTTGGCAACATCTAGAAAAACTTGAACCCAGGAAGAAATGAGGTAGAGACTAATACCTCACACTGTATACCAAGATGAACTCCAAATGCATAAATGGTTTGGCAAGAAAAGTTAACATCAAGAAGCAAATTCGAGAAGCAAGGAAGAAATTGCCTTTCAAATTAATGGATAGGGCAAGAATTCATGACCAGAGGAAGGCTTGAGAGGGTCATAGAAGATCAAAGGGGCACCACTGATAAGTAAAATTTAAAAGTTTTCACACGCACAAAAACAATGTAGTTACAATTATTAGGGAAACCAATAAGTGGAGGAAAAATCTTTGCAGCAAATTTCATCCAACCAAGGTCTTACATTTGGGATTTATAAGGAACTGATCAAATTTATAAGAATAAGAGCCATTTCTCAATGAATAAATGATCAAGGTTATTAAAAGGCAGTTTTCAGAGGAAGAAACCCAAGTTCTCAACAACTGTATGGAAAAATGCTTCAAAATCATTAATAATTAGAGAAATGAATATTAAAGCTACTCAGAGATTTTGCTTCACACCCATCAGTTTGGCAAAACAGACAAAAGAGGAAAGCGACAATTTTTTTTTTTTTGGCAATTGGGTTAAGTGACTTGCCCAGGATACTCATAGCTAGTGAGTATCGAGTGTTTGGTCTGAGGCTGGATTTGAACTCAGGTCCTCCTGATTCCAGGGCCGAGTCTCTATCCACTGCGCCAGCTAGCTCCCTAAAAGCAACAAATATTAAAGGGCCTGTGGGGAAAGTGGCCCACTAATGTATGATTGGTGAAGCTGTGAGGAAAGCAATTTGGAACTTTCCCCTCCCCCCAATCATTAAACTGTTCATACCCTTAGACAGCCATGATAGAAAGAGGAAAGGGACTTGTATGTACAAAAATATTTATGGCAACTCTTTGTGTACTAATGACTAACTGGAAGCTGAGGACATACTCACATGGTGGGGAATGGCCAATCATGGATTAGTATTGGGCCCTGAGAAATGGAGAAATGGATGGAAACTGCAAGAACTCTGTGAACTGATGTGGAGCAGGGGAGCAGAACCAGAAGGCAACTTATGTGACAACAACACTTTGCAGACAAATAACTTTGAAAACTCTAAAACTCTGATCTGTGCCACGATAAACCATAATTGCAGAAGACTGACAAGGAAATGTGCTTTCCAAGAGGTGATGGACTTAAAATGCACAATAAGACATAGTTTTTGCACATGACCATGAGGGGGATTTGTTTTGCTGGACTGTATGTGTCTGTTAAGATGCTTTTGTTTTTAAATGTTTATTGTTTCATTGAGGAGTCAGGTGGGAGAGACAATAAATGTGTGCAAAAGTCAGCTATAGGTTAACTACCACAAAGGATTCCCTGTGATTCGGACTTAGGTGGCCTCAGCTGAAATGCTTGATCCTGGCCATCAAGTTGTCATTGGTCCTCCTCCTCCTCCTGTTCTTCCTCCTCCTGTTCTTCCTGCTCTTCCTCCTCCTCATCTTCTTCCTCCTCCTCTTCCTCCTCCTGCTCCTCTTCCTCTTCTTCTTCCTCCTCCTCCTCTTCCTCCTCCTTTTCCCATGCTTGGTAGCCTCCTCTGTCTGGTGTCCTTTCCCCACTCTGTGCATTTGCATGGTGCTGTCTAGAATCCCTGTTCTCTTCACAAGCTGCTCTGCATGCCCAATCTATGTCCTCTCCCTGCCTTGTATGTATTATATTCATTCATATAGGTGTGTTTGCTTTCTCTAAGTAGAATGTAGGGTCCTTTAGGGGAATGATTGTGTCATTTGGCCTTTGTATCACTTAGCATCGTATGTGCTGCTGAGAGAAGGCAGTGGGTTCTCCTTACTGGCTGCTTACCCAGCAGAAGCTCAGAGACATTGCAAGAATTTCATAAAGGATATTCCTTTTGAGGTATAGGTTGGACTAGATGGCTGTTCTCATTTTCAAACCAAAAGCAGTTGTTAAGAAAGTTTCTGTAATAGAAAATAAGACATTTTTGGCCGTGCATTTCTGTTTCATGGCACACGTAATGCTGTGTTGGGGGAGGACTTAGGGGGCTCTTCTCTGCCTGGTGGCTCCCACCCAAGTCTCCAGGCTGATAGAGCTCCACAGAGTGACCTTTTAAGGACACAAAACAAATTTTCATTCAATTCAGCATATATTTATTAAGTTTCTCCTGTGTACAAGACCCTTGGGCTGGAGATCAGAAATCCAGTTCTTCTTGGGAGGCAAGAATGCAACATCTAAACAACAAAGTGAATGCAAAGCAATTTGAGGCAAGAGATAACCATAAAATAGGGTGGAGGGGGAAAGGTTTGCTTATAATGTAGAAAATGAGCTGGTCATTACGGGAGAGAAGGTGCTAAGAGAAAGAGAAGGAATATATTCCAGACAAGGGTGTGACATTGGCAAACATATGGATGTGCAGATGGAGTAACAAGTTTAGGGGAGATAGGTCAGAGTCCTTTGGCACTGTGGACCACCCTCTTGCTCCCACATCCTCTCCTCCCTGGCTTTTGTGACCCTGCTTTCCCTGACTGACCTATCCCTGGTCACCTTTGCTTGATCTTCATCCAGCCTGATCTCACTAGCTGTGGGTGTCCCCCAAGGCTTTCTCCTAACTCAATGCTATTTGCTTGGAAATCTCATTGACTCCATGGATTCAATTATCACCTTCTGCAGATGGATATTCATCCAGCCCTATCCTCTCTTCTGATCCCCAGTCTTGCATCTCCATCTGCCCATTGGACATCTTAAACTGGGTATCCCATTCACATCTCAAACTCAACATGTCCAGGATAGAACTTAGTATCTTTCCTCCAAACCTTCCCCTCTTCTGACCTTCCCCATCACACAGATTCATAACCCTCATGTAATCCTGGAATCTTCATTGTTTCTCCCAGCCCTCATCCAGTCAGTTGTGTGTGTGCTCCCTTCTTTCCTCTGACATGCGTGCTGTGGTGACTGCAGCAGCCACCAACACCAGTTAGGGTTGATCCCCTCCCTCAAGCCTCTGCTCATTCCAGGCCTTTCTGTCCTCAGCTCTGGGGATCTTCCCGGAGGAGAAGTCTGGCCCTAGAACCCTCCTCATCAATAAGCTACAGTGGATCCCTGTTGCCTCCAGGATCAAGTGGAAGAGACTTCCTGCCCTGGCTTCTTGCTGCCTTTCTAGTCCTCTTCTACCTGAGTCCCCTCTGCACACTCTACAATCCAGTCACACTGGCCTCCTTTCTGCTCCTTGGCTATGACACTGTTTCCCGATTCTGTCTGTTTTCCTGGATGTTTCCCTTGGCTGTATTCTCTCCCTCCTCACTGCCACACTCTGACTTCCTTCCTTCAGTTCCTCCATTCTCAGATAAAATCCCGCCTTCTGGAACAAATCTTTCCTCACCCTTTTTAAAATCAGTTTTATTTTATAAGTCTTTTATGGCTTCATAGTTCCTTCCAGTATCCCTCTCATTCCATTTTCCAGAGAGCCATCTCATATAATGATTAATATTTTTTAAAAGAAAAGGAAAAATATCAGCATAAATGATCCATACACTGAGAAAGTCTGACAAAATGTACCACCTGTAAGCCCTGTGGCTCCCTACTTCCATGCAGGGCTGGGTTGGGGCATCCTGTCATCCCTTTTCGGTCTTTAGAGCTGGGGTGCCTTTGCTTCAGTTTTTCTGTTGGAGGGGTAGCTTTTCCCCGACTGTCCACCACCCCTGGGTTGCTTCCTCCTCCCCTCTGCCTCTAGGATTCTCTGGCTTCCTTCAGGACTCAGCTGAAATCCCACTTTCTGCAGAAGGTCCTTCCCACTCCCCCCAAACTCAGTGTTTTCCCTACAGGATTGCCTCCATTTGCCTCATATCTGTCCTATATGTTACTGAATCACTCACATGTAGTCTCCCCCATTAGAAGGTGAACATCTTGAGGGCAGGCAATGCTTTTGCCCTTTTTGTATCCTCGGTGCCTAGCATAGTGCCTTGAATAGAATAAGAGTCCCCCCAGAATGTTGGACAGCATGGAGTGGGGGAAGTGACTTGAGGCAGGGCTGGGATGGGAGGCTAGAGCCAGTCTGTGAAGGCTCTAGGTGGAGAGTAGGGGCAGAGATTAGCAGGCCAGCTAGGGTTGGGGTTAAGGTCAGGGTTTAGGGTTAGGATTCTTATAACAGTCTGTGGGAGAGGAGGTAAAGTCCCAAAGGAGAGCAGTGGCCACCTGAGTAAGGAGGTTTTCTGAAAGGAGAAGTGACTGGACTCGGCAGCCTGTGGGGAGGGATGGAGGGGGGGGGATCAAGAATGTTTCTAAAGCAGAGAACCTAGCTGATAAATTGTGACTGGGAACTTTGGTATTTGAAGTCCCACATCTTAGCATCGCTCCCATGCTGCTGCGGGATGTGGTCCTAGCCTAAGCGCGAAGCCCACCTTTGGTGCTCCCTCACTCACTCGGGGACCCTCCTCATCTGTGCTGTAGAGCTGGCCTTGGCCGCCATCTCTGGCTCTGCAATGCTGTGGAAACACTCAGTTCTGTTGCATCATCCATCTGTGGACACAGATAAAAGTCATGAGATGTGTGTCCACGTCTAGCAGGGGGAGAGCAGAGGTTCGCTATCGATTGTGGTCCACATCACAGCTGATAACATACTGTGTGCTTTGGCCAAAGTAAACCTGTGAGGAGGAGACCCAGGGAATACAACTAATCAAATAAATGGGAGACTCCTGATTTCAGTGGCCAAGGGTCGCCTGCAAAGTCTCTGCTCTGGTGGGGTTCATTGATGCAGGAGAAAGGGAAAGCCTTGAGGCAGAGGAGGAGGATTATGAAGGGGATTTGGAAGGCAGTGGGATCACTAAAGAAGTCAAAGATCGATTGTGGGGAGGAACATGTGGAAAGGCTTGAGATGAAGTTGGAGGCTAAGGGCTTGACCTGAAAGGAAATACATGTTTATTAAGCACCCACTATGTGCTAGGCCATGTGCTAAGCGCTTTACAGATGTCTTATTTGATCCTCACAACAACTCTGAGAGGGAGGTAGTATTATTATTGTCCCTATTTTACAGTTGAGGAAACTGAGGCAAGCAGGTTCAGTGACTTGTCCAGCAACCAGATTTGAATTCAAGTTTTCCTGACTCCAGGCTCATTGCTCTATCACTGAGACCTAGCTGTCTGCGTGGCACAGGGAGCCAGAGAGAACCGGAAAGAGAGAGGGCTTGATGCTTGGAGCTGGGACCCCACTGCCAGGGAGATGTCAGGCCTGATGCTTGACTCCAGGGGACCTGGGCTCAGAGAGAAAAGCAGAAAGGTAGCTGAGGCCAGTGCCCTGGAACCCCTCCACTCCTTCACTCAGGCATCGTTGAGCATTTAAGTATGAAGCTCACTACCTGCTTGTACTGCCCTTGCCATGGGGACGTCATTGCAAGAAGAGAGTGGGGGCAGGGAGGGCCGAGGAAGACTCTTCAGGCTGTGGAAGCTCAGCCCTTCCTCAGAGCTGCTGCATAACTCAGAGTGGCTCCTTCATGTTACGTGCTCTGGCTCTTCCGTTTGCCCAAGTCAGGGACTGGGCAGAAGAAATGCATGGTCCGGGCAGGTGTCTTCTCCTTTTCTATCCTGACCTGCTTTCCTGGCCTCCCTCTCAAAGTCCAAAAGGGACCATCCTTCATCTCACTGTCTCTTTTACCTGCCCAGAACATCCTGCAAACAGGGCATTTAAAATGGACACCCTGTGATTTCCACAAGTGAACTTGGGGGACCCTGCTGCTCCAGGGAACCCTGGAAACACTCTTGGGTTTCCCAAAGAACTGGAAACAAAGGAGGTGGGGAACGGTCAGACAAGTTGTGGTGTGTGAATGTGAGGGGGGTGTTACTCTGATAACACTGAATGTGATGGATCCAGAGAATCATGCAAAGACTTAGATGAACTGATGCAACCTGAGGTAAATAGAGCCTGGCACCTGCCATGTCCACGGGAAACATTAACCTGGCAGTTAGTGTTGGAAATGGGAGGGCCTGGGGCTAAGATCAGCAAGTGGCCAGCTACCCTCCAGCCTGAGCTACATCTATGGAAACACCCTGGGTAAAGGAAAGGGAAGCAGATCCCAGCCTGAGGAGTCACTTTTTCATGGGAGAGGAGAGTAGGGAGCTGTTGGTATTTGTTTTTATTGAGAATCTAGAGGCCATCAGCAACACCATTTCATGGGATTCCGAGTCCTCACAGCAAGTACTTACAGAAGAACTGCCAGGGAGCCAGTCAGTCAGTCAGCATCGATTAGGCACCTACTGTGCACCAGGCACTGGGCACACAAAGAGAAGCAAAAGGCAGTCCCTTAGTGCCTTGGCTCACTGTCTAAAGGAGGAGACCACATGTAGACAATGAAATACCAACAAGGTGTAAAGGGTAAAGAGGAGATAATGAACAGAGAGAAGGCCCTGGGCAGGAGAGGGGCTGGGGGAGGCTTCCTGTGGGAGGTGGGATCAGAGAATGCCTGGAGCTGAGATGTGGAGGGTCTTGTTTATGGGATGGGGGGGGCACCCACTGGATGGAAGAGGACTCTGGGGAGTGAGGTGTGAGAAGACCGAAAAGATGGGGGGTGGGATAGGAAGGGCTTTGGATGCGAGGAAAGCACTTTGTGTTTGCTCCTGGAGGCCATAGGGAGCTGCTGCGGTTTATTGAGGAGGGGGATGAGGAGGCATAGAAATCCTGTGGAGAGCTCAGGAGTTCCCACAAACGAAGTCAGCATATACTTTGATACTTGCTAGCTCTGATGTAAAAACGGGCAAAGGCAAGGGCGGTGGGGAAATAAATTGGAAAATATGCTTTAGATGTGTTGAGGAAGGGATGCAAGGGGGGAATAGGAAGAGGAGGAGGATTAGTGGTGGTGGTGGTGGTGGTAGTAGTAGTAGTATTGGTGATGGTGGTAGTGGTAGTTGTAGTAGTAGTATTGGTGGTAGTGGTGGTGGTAGTAATAGTAGTAGTAGAAGTATTGGTGGTGGTGGGTAGTGGTAGTAGTAGTAGTAGTAGTAGTAGTAGTTTGGTGGTGGTGGTAGTAGTAGCAGTAGTAGTAGTGGTGGTGGTGGTGGTAGTAGTAGTAGTATTGGTGATGGTGGTAGTGGTAGTTGTAGTAGTAGTATTGGTGGTAGTAGTGGTGGTAGTAATAGTAGTAGTAGAAGTATTGGTGGTGGTGGTGGTAGTGGTAGTAGTAGTAGTAGTAGTAGTAGTATTGGTGGTGGTGGTAGTAGTAGCAGTAGTAGTAGTGGTGGTGGTGGTGGTAGTAATAGTATCGGTGGTGGTGGTGGCAGTAGTAGTAGTATTGGTGGTGGTGGTGGTGGTAGTAACAGTAGTAGTAATAGTATTGGTGGTGATGGTGGTAGTAGTAGTAGTAGCAGTAGTAGTAGCATTTTATAGCACCTTAAGGTTTGCAAAGTGCTTCCCAAATATTAGGCCATTTGATTCTTAGAACAACGCTGGGAGGTAAGTGTTATTATTATTCCCATTTTACAGATGAAAAAAGGGAGGCAGACAGAGGTGAAGTAACTTGGCCAAGGTTACCCAGCTAGTCAATGCCTCTGGCTGAATTTGAACTCAGGGCTTCCTGCTCTGGCTCCTGGACCCCTCAGCTGCCTATAAGATGGAGGAAGGAGGGAAAAGATGAAGGAATTGCACAGGGAGGAAGCTAAAAGGGGAAGGTGGCTCTACTGGATCTAGGGTGCACAGGTGAGGGCTGTGTTGCAGGTGACGCAGCTCAGAGAGTAGGAGGTGGAGGACCCCAAAAGCATAGGACAAACCTTGGATGTTGTTAGCATACTAAGGCCATTAAGCCTAGCCACCATTTGACTGTTTTCCAGTCTACGTGGACTTTTTCTGAAACAGCAAAGAGCCTAGGGGGAAAGACTCCTCTGTCACGGTCCAGGCAAGTCCAACCAGACTGTGCTAGAAGTAACCCAAGATTCTGAATCCATTGTAGAGCCCCCAGACTACAGGCCTTGCTTCTAGCCTCCACCCAACCATCCCACCCCCCGCTAGTATTGAAGAGAGCAATCCCTGGAGAAGGGCAGGGAAGCTGAAGGGCCCCAGGAATGGCAGTGACCCCCAGCTTACTGATTCGGCTCCAGACCCGCTCTAGAGGGAGCAAAGCGAACCTGGCCACCGTGGTAGTCTGCGTTAGGTACTAACCATTCAGGAGAGTGGATTTCAGAGTGGCGGCACCTCCAGATCAACAAGCCTGCTGGTGAAGGGGTGAAATCTGGAGGAGCAGAGTGGGAACAAAAGAGGCGTGTGTCATCTGGACCACGTGTACTTCTACACGTCTGCCTTTCTCCCAGTGTATTCCATGCATGTGCACATTCCTCCCACTGATGCTGTACGGATTTATGGCCGAGTGGACCCAGGGTATGAGGAGAAAGCTTTGCAGCTGCTGTTATGATGATACCTTTTCAGCTAATGCCTTTGCCTTGAGCTCCTTGTGTCTACTGGTTGATTGTTAAAAGTAAGTACATCAGTTGGGGCTCATGTCCTAGAATTTTAGGGCTTCAGACTTGGATATCTTGAACCTGAAGGAGTTGTTCCACTGGGGACCCAATCTAGCAGTGCAAGCACCATGTAAGATCAATTCATCAGGAGACCAGGGACCTTGAGACCCCATTTGGGGTTTCCTTGGCGAAAATGCTGCGGTGGTTTGCCATTTCTTCTCCTGATCATTTTATGATGCAGGAACTGAGACAAACAGAATTACAAATGACTTGCCCAGTGTATGAGACCGGACTTGAGCCCAGGTCTTCCTGACTGCAGGCCTGGCACTTTATCCACTGCAGAGCCACCCAGCTGAAATGCAGACATCCCACAAAGTACCTTTTCCTTGTACACTTGGAACTCTCAGCTGTTCTCGATCCTGAGAAATGGTGTGAAATCGCCAGGGGTGGTGGGGCCCTGGATGAGGAGTCAGAAGAATAGGCCCAATTCCACGTTCTGTTATTTACTCACCACCAGGGTGACTTTGGGACTCTCTAGGTCAAATGTGAGGGCAGAGAGGGGGTGGATAGAACAAGATAATCTCTGAGATTCCTCCCAGCTTCAAACCCTCCGATACTCCGTGCTAAAATATACAAGAATGAGGAAGTGGAGAAGGAAGATGGTGGCCAGACTTCAGGGGCCATTTAAGGGATGACTGAGGGTTATCTAAATGCCTTCGATGTTAGAGATCTAATACTGAAGGTAAGGCAATGGGAGCAACGTTGGCAAAGCTACTTCAGTCTGCTCCAGAACACAGCTGTGGGGATGGGCATGGATCTGCCACCAGGACCCTCACCTGGTTGTTATTGCCAAACCCACGGCAGCCCTCGGGAGTTAGCATTGCACCTCAGGATTGCCAGCAAGGCTAAGCCAAGGCCCTTCAGACACACACACGAGACCTCGGAATGTGAGCAGCCAACCCCAGTCTCCTGGAGCTACGTAAAGCACCCAGCTGAGCCCAGAAAAGGAGACCGCCAAACCAGTCTGTGGAGCTCGCCAGGACCATTCCCTGCACCATCGTAAATAAACAGACGCCAGAGCCTCTTTAGCTAAACAGGAACCTGGGTGAATGGGGTGGGGGGAGCGTATGCATAGGATGACTTCAGCTGCTCCAGCTTGCATCCTCTGTCTGCTGACCCTGGGCACTTTCATCACCACTCAGCCCACCATTCTGGGCTCTTTCCATCGTCACTGAGTCAGATGTTGGGGAGGGAACATTGACTAGGAGGCCTCAAAGTCTGAAATCCAAATACAGTTTCAGTGCCTCCCTCATCCCTAGGAAGGTATCAAGGCTGCGTCTACACAGGAATAGTCTATCAAGGGAATAGGAATAAGAGGGAATTGTGGACTTGGTCATCTTCCCCTGCCTCCAGTTTCACGTATATATTTTTTTCCAATTACGTGTAAAAACAATTTTTAACATTCATTTTTAAAAATTTTGAGTTTTAAATTCACTTCTGCCCTCCCTCCCTCCCTTCCTCATTGAGAAGGCAAGCAATTTGTTATAAGTTATACATGTGCAGTCATATAAAATATATTTCCATGTTTTAGTCAGGTTGTGAAAGAAAACAGACAGGAAACAAAAAAAAAGTAAAAATAGTATGCTTTGATCTGTATTCAGACACCATCAGTTCTTTCTCAGGAGGCAGATAGCTTACTTCATCATGGGTCCTTTGGGATTGTCTTGGATCATTGTATTGTTGAGAATAGCTAAGTAATTCACAGCTGATCATCATTCAGTGTTTCTGTTACTGTGCACAAAGTTCTCCTGGTTCTGCTCACTTCACTTTGCATCAGTTCATGTAAGTCTTCCCAGGTTTTTCTGAGAGCATCTGGAATCAGTCATCTTTAACTTGTCCTTAGCCCTTTTAGTTATTCAGTCACCAAAGCAGGTCAGTTCTTTCTTCCAGATGTTTCTTGCTTCTGTCGCTTCCTCCTTCCCGCTGACCCCACCAATGCTCCAAGACCTCGATAGGTAGGAGCTTCGTAGCAGGCCTCCTTGACTGTACTTTCCCCTCCAAGGTCTGTTCTGGAGCTGTGTTCCCTTCAGGGCTTTTCTCTCTTTAGGCAGTAGGATGGGCACTAGGAATATTTGGCTCTAAACCCCCAAATTATCCCATGAAATCTGAGCTCCTCGACGTGGCTTTCAGGACCTCAGGACTATTGCTCATAGCCTGTTCATTGAGCCTTGAACGTGTCCCATTCTCCATCCTTTATCCTCATGTTTGTCATTTCTGGCCCCTTTCTGCCTCTCACACAATCATCAGCCTCTTTCCAGCCTCCCTCAGTGATCACCTGGACTGAAGCCCAGCACCCCCTCCCTGCCCAATGGGCTTGCTGGTCCCTTGAAGGACAACTGTGAGACACTCTGCATGTGGAGAGAAATGGGGTGCCTGAATGACTGACAGACTTCTGGGAGAAAGGAGGTATAGACTTTGAATGGAAAATGGTACCCCTGGAGCCACAGATGTCTGTGGAAAACATCCCAGCCTCGGTTCCCAGTGAGTGCCTGCACTGCCAGAGACAGTGACAAGTAGACTCAGAGGGAGGAGATGGCTCTCTCCTCAGTGGAGCTATGATTTCATCTCACACTAATGACTTTGGTCCCCAGAGCATATCTGCTGCATCTCCTCAGGGCTTGAGGGGCAGACCTGAGGCACTGAAAGTATGCCTTTTCTAGTGCTACATTGTTCATGAGCCCCCACTGGTGTGCTGCTATGATTATGGGTTAATTATCAATTAGTCAGCCAGGCTTAAGAAGCTTTTAAAAAGGGATATTTACTATGATTGTAAGAACAGTTGGCACAAATCATCCCACCAAAGTCCCCCCAAAATACATGCAGAGTCCAGGGGAAGTGGGCTCAAGTTTAGACAGCACATGTGTCAAGGGGATGCCTAATAGTTCCTGTGAGTCGTTTTGCTGGAGTCCTCCAATGTTCTCTTAAGTGGCCTAGTTTTCCACTGGGCTCTTTACAGGGCTGTGAATCTTTGTCTAGTCTGTTCTTGGCCCCTAGTGCGGAGGCTGTCAGCTTCATTCCTTTGTTTCTGTCGGGCTCAGCACTTAACCCTTCAGACTTCTTTCCTCACCCAGCAGCCTTCTCCTGATGGAAGATCATTCCACCCCTGCAGCCTCTTCTCCTGGACCTCCTTTTTAAGGAGAGTGCCCTGGCCATCTATGTTGACTCTTTTCATTCTCTGAACTTCACTCCTGACTCCCCAGACTTCCTCCTCCACCATGCCCCGATGTGGGTCCCTTTCTCTCCTCCCTACCCCATACTTTCCAGCTTCCTTTAATGTGTTGCCTTCTCCTGTAGAATGCAATCTCCTTGAGGGCATAGGACTGTTTTTATTTCTGCTTCTGTTTGTATCCTCAGTTCTTAGCACAATGCCTGGCACATAAAAGCATTCCATAAATGCTTGTTGATTTGATGGATATAGGAACACTGCTAGAATGCTGAAGGGAAGATGGGAAATCCTGAGATCCTCCTCCAGTAGGCATTGGTGAGAGAAAAGACAAAAAATGAGGCTATAATACCTCCTTCCCACCCATCCCCAATCAGCAATTCCTCAGGAGGTCCAGTGGGAATGCTCTCTCCTCATTTGCTGCTCATTGGAATCTTTCTCTCTAATTCTCTTAAGTCTAGATTAGCTCCAGAAAGATTGCAACCAAATTTCCTCAGCCAATTCAGATATTTTTATCCAGTAGCCTATTAGAGACATCTAAATTGGTAGAGTCCTTTCCACACTTGGTTGGAATGCCTTTGATTGATTGGATTCAATCTGGATGCACTCCCACCTGGTTAAGGTACTAGGGCATAGCATTTTATTATTTACTTAGGCGGGAAAGGGTAATTTGGTTGATTCACTCAACTGACCCAACAATTCCATACTGATAGGGGGATGAGATCAGAGAAGTTTGGAGACCGCTGGTCTAGCCAGGCACCAGTTTTCCAGTTGCCCCCATCTCTATTGCATCTCCTTGACTGGCTTGTAGTTCTGCAGTAAGGGTGCCTTGTCTCTTTGCCTGAAGTCAACTCTGACACCAAAGACTGTCCTTACCTTTGTTCACCATCAGAAGTTTCCTTTGTTCCAAATGATCATGAACCTAATCTCCATTTTCTCCATCTTCTTCCTCTACACTCTCCACTTCTGAACTACCCCATGTGGTTCCCAGGACTGTATCTAAGCAATGGAGCCCTTTCTTCCACCTCAGCCACACCTCTGACCTCCTCTCCATATGGACTTCCCCTTACCATAATCTGATTCATACACTTTATCTCCCATCTGAATACTAATTTTCTTCTCAAACTATTTCTACTCTTTGCCAGATTTCAAAGATGTGGAATAATGCACATTTTGTTAAATCTCCACGAACTAGGATCATTGCATTGTCAAAGTCCTCAAAAGCAAAAAGAACTTAAGAAGCCATTCCTCAGCATTTTAAGAGGGGCAGCTAGGTAGTGCAGTGGATAGAGAACTGGTACTGAAATCAGGAGGACCTGAGTTCAAAGCCAGCCTCAGACATATAATACTCACTAGCTGTGTGACTCTGGGCAAGTCACTTAAACACAATTGCCTCACCAAAAAAAAAATGTATATTTGTCCTCATCATTTTAGGAAAGTGAGCAACCAACTACCCACAAAGATAGGCTTGTTTATTTTTAGCGCCAGGGAGCCGAAGGTAAAGCTTGACGTTAAGGTGTGGAATGTGTGCCAAGCTCACGGCCCCTGAGGGAGGATTGAAATAGAGCGCTGATTCTGGAAACTTCTCCTGTTCACATGCCCTGATTAGATGCCCTTTCCCTCCTCATCCACCTTTTGCCTGGGCAGATTATCATTCCAGAAGGAACACAGTGCGTAAAGTCTAGAAGTATTAGAAAATAAATAAAATCCTGCCCAATGGAATGGTGATGGTGGTGGTCTTGGAGAGTAACAGCTGATCATGGAGAAAGAATGGCTGATTTGAGAAGCTCTAT